TGTGGACTCGATGTCCTGACAGGCCGGAGTTTTTGCAACCTCCACAAACACAATAATTTACCATGACGATGATAAATTAAAATACAAAAACTACCGAAAACACTGATTCACGACCGCTCTCACTGACTTTTTTTTATTCGATGCCACAAGAGGTTTTACATATTCACAATATCACATTAACATTAGCTGCCAGGAAATAAAAAATACAAAAAAAGTTTTACATAAAATCCAGTGCTTTCAAAGCATTACATGTTTTCATAGCTTTTTTGTTTTTAGTTTGTTCCAAGAGATGTACATATAATGTGAAGTCATTTATAAAATGTGAAAAAAGCCCAATTCTTTTTATGTATATGGTATTTTCCTAATAAAACAAATAACTGTATAATATGTTGTTCTTTACATTCCAAATTGTCATTCTGAGTATAAAAAAGCAAATTTACCCGCTCTACTGAATACAAACCTATCTGCGCTACTGAGGCTCCCTCCCTCTGGTGACGTAAAATGACGCGTGCTGAAAAAAAAACGTTTTTTACGAGCAGTCAAAGAAACGCTCACTTTATCTACTAAATTTGTGCCCTTATGTCGTTTTAAAACATTTTAAATCCTGCATTACCTTTTCATATGGTATTTTCATACAAGGTTATATATTAATTTAGATTTTTTTTTTAACCTGCAATATGCTCTTTAATGCCCCTCACTGGCACGCACACACACACACACACACATACGCACGCACACACACACACACACTATAATCACAACATACAATGGTATGCCTGCCCACACACAACCCCTTCTCAACCCTTACGTCAACCCTAGAATAAAGAGGTAAATGTGACTAAAGAAAAAATAATATTACCCACTGACAAATTAGTGGATGCATTGTTGTGAAAGTTTTAAATGTTTTTTTAAATTATCTTTAAAGGCCCCAAACAAGTCATAAGTTTTTATATTATCTGGAATTGTGTTCCATTGTATCACAGCTTTGATAGAAAAGGCTGCCTGCCCAAATGCTGAATAGCGAAAGGGTACAGTGCAGCTATATACGGAAACTATTCTAGTGGTCCTCACAGAGCCACGGTAACAGACAAACTCACGGTGGGGGCCAAACAGGTGGGGGTCAAACCTTTTAAGATTTTATAAACTGTGCATAAATTTGAGAATATTCTAAAATTTTCAAAAGTTAGTAGATTGCACTTATGTAATATGTCACAGTGATGGTGCCTGAGTGGCTTTTTGTCAAGAATTTTCAGGCCCTGTTTGTACAGGGATTCTAAGGGCCTAATTGTTGCTTGGCTAGCCTGGCCCCAACAGGTGATACAATATGCGATTGAATATGAAATGGACATTAAATATTGATTTGCAATTTTTGCATTATGTGAGAATTAAGAGGATACAACATGATATGAGAGACATGATGAGAGACTGTGTGGGAAATTAGTTTCCTGAGAATTAGTTTACAGTTTAACTGTCACTATACAAAAATTATTGTTTGTATAGTATTCTTATTGTCATAGACAAAATAATACATATAATTTTCTATTAATAATACGTTCTATTTTTACAGGCTAAAGCACTTGTCAGGCCTAATGTGTCTGCAAAATGGAGGAAGGTCATCACTCTGCCCTGCATCATACAGTGAGAACTCAGACATTTAAATGCACAAACATAATGCTTAACTCTGTTAAACCACTTTTCATCATGCTTTCAGAGAAATTCAAACTTATTCTTCCTCCTCCCTCTCATATTCAGTGTATTTAGGAACGGGGACATCCTCAGTCCTGCCCTGCGTCTGATCATTCCCAGACACATGCAGAAAAATCTAGAGCAGATCCTGAGCCTCATTTCGGAAAAAGCCATGCTTCGCACAGGAGCCGTGCGCAGGTGATAAAAATATACATACTGTATGTGTTACGATAAGCGTATGAAGCAAGTCCTCATACATGGTGAGATTGTTTTGATTCCTGTTAATCGTTTCACTTTGTTGACCTCTCAGGCTCTGTACTCTGGAGGGCTTCACAGTGACCTCCACAGAGGAGCTGGAGTCTGGGCAAAGCTATGTTGCTGTTGGAACAGAGAGGTTCAAGAAACTCCCATATGTGGAGATACTGCTAAACAAAGCGACAGGCAGCAGCGCGGACAGGTGATGAGGGTGGATAATTGAGATGAACAATACTCTAATTTTTTTGTACATACACTACTGAATAAAAAAAATATTTTTATTTTTTATATTATATTTTTGAAAGGAGTCACTCATGCTCACCAAGGTTGCACTTATTTGATCAAAAATTCAGTAAAAAGTACTATTGTGATATATTATTACAATTTAAAATAACTATTTTCTATTTTAATATATTTTAAAGTGAAAGTTCTTCCTGTGATGGCAAAGCTACCATTACTCCAGTCTTCAGTGTCACATGATCCTTCAGAAATCATTCTAATATAATATTTTGTGCTCAGGAAACATTTCTTATTATCAGTGTTGAAAACAGCTGTACTGCTTAACATTTTTTTGAATTCTTTGAAATAGAACATTCAAAAGAACAGTGTTTGAAATAGAAATGCTTTGTAACATTATACATGTCTTTACTTTCTATTTTGATCAATGAATGCATTCTTACTGAATAAAAGTATTATTTCTTTATTTTCAAAATTATGACAATTTTATTGATCCCATACATTTGACTTGTAGTGTAAGTAATGAAATCATGTTAAATAGGATCCATCTGTCTTCACTCTAGACATTATGCAGGAGACAGAGGATTACAGAGAAGAATTAAGGTACTATTTACACTTAATATACAGTGGAGTTAAAATAAATATATCTTAAATATTTCTTTTTTTATAAAAAAAAATATATCACAAATCATTATGAAATCATATAATAAATATATCAGACTACGTATGGAGCCCTGCTGTATATTTATTTTTAGTGTGTCAGATTAATACATTTTCATAAGACAAATTGTTCTATTGAAGTTCGTTAATGTTCTCTTATGACAATCCGACTCAGAGTAGAAAGATTTTTCCCCAGGACAGCCACAGTGACTCCACCCTCCTGAATTCACCTGAGGTAAAAAAAAACAAATACTCAGTTTTTCTAATTCTCCCATTTTTCCCGCTCTGTTATACACCGTAAACAATACATTTTTTTAAATCCATATTTCTTTATTGGTGCTTTAAAGTAGAGCGTCATCGTTCAAACGAACCCAAAAAGGCTTTAGATCGTTGACCCACTATATTGAACATATCTTGTGTAAATGCTGTCTGCTTTCAGAGAGAAGGCAGGCGTGTGAAGTCCACAGGAGATGAGGTGGAGCGAGAGAGCTCCCCTCAGCTGGTAAAGAGGAGAGGAAGGAGAGGAGAAAGAGAGGAGAACTCTGTTTTCTACGCCAGACCTGTGAGAGTTCGCAGACACCCACACAGACCCCCACCTAAAGCCACACCAGGTGAATGCTGAACAATTAAATAAAATATACTTACTAAATAAAATTTAACTTTTTTGTTTATTAATCTGTTGCTGTCTCTCTTGTGTGATATTGTGTAATTGCGTTAGATGAGCACAGTGTGTTTAAGGCCTCTGAGAACAGTATGAGAGAGGAGGTTCGAGGTGCTGAAGAGGTCGCAGAGGATGAAAACACAACTGTAGAGCTTCCCATTGACCAGGTACACCTCTCCCCTCTTTTGTCCCATCTCATCTCATCTCATCTCGTCTTTTCTAAAATCGTCATCATTTCAGAGAGAAGCAGATATTGTGGAGGATGAAGAGCCTCATGAAAGAGATCCGTTTGACCCAGCCAGTACAAATCATGTGAGTGTGTGAAATGCACATGATAGTAATGACAACTCAATCATGAAATAACACTATTTGTTCCAATTAAGATGCATTCTGGTGAAATACACAGTCCATCAGCTGATCTTTCTAATGAAAACAGAGAGAAAGAGTTTGTAGTGTCCGAGAGGGAGGCATGGGACGACACGTCAGCTTTGCGGAGAGAAACACAGCAGGGATACACGTCCAGCAATGAGTCTCAGCCTGATGCGAATAAACATGACATTGTAAAGACACTGTGCATTGAACATGGACTTTTTTTGTTGTTGTAGTTTTACATCCTAATTGTGTTTTCAATTAGGCTTACATGGAACTAAATCATCTTGAGAGGGATTATTATATAACCTCATAAAATAATGCAGATTTTCTTCAGGATTATTTCTTTCATTTTGTCCCTGTTTAGGAGTCAGACACACGTCATTTCAGATCATCATCATCACTCAGGGTCTCTGAACATTCCCCACGAAGTGAAGAAACACAGCAAGAACCAGTCAGTTTATGAGTTGTAAACAATATATTTAATGCATAATAATATTTAAATGCAAATTATGTAGTGTAGTGCCATCTCTAGTAAAGGCCTGATATTTAATATCTTGTGGGAGCCAATAATGCATCTTTTTATAGTCTAATATTGGATTACATATTTAGAAATTATTAGAATTATGTGTAAACAATCATTTAAATACCTTGTCTTGCTCTGCTCTCTTTGTGTATGTATCAGACTTTGGGTTCCCATGAGGAACAGACTGACAGGGATGCTGAGCGCCCTCTCCAGGCTGAAGATGATGCAGGAAACAGAGACACACCTTCCTAATCCACACACATGCTCTGAACATGGAGATCGTGAAAAATGGCATTTAAAATAATGTACCCTTCAAAGTAACAGTGTCCTCAACATGCAGAGATTCACTGAAAAATATGCTTTTTTATTTCTTATGTTTAACAAAATATGACCTCTGCAAATAAAATACATTTAAAATAAAGGTATTTAAACACTGGCCACTTTCACTTTATTAGTACAAATCCATATAAGCTTCCGATAATAAAACAATATGTACAAGTATTTTGTATAATCCACATACGCTTAAAAGTTTCCACAGTTGCAATTAAAGTGCAAAACATTTGGATTTCACCAACACAGTTCAAGTAAAGATTATAAGTTATACATCGTTTTCTCCTGGTAAAGGTTCATGGTATATACAGAAAAAGAAGCAGCACAGATATTGTGTCAGTTTTCAATGAGGTGAATATGTTTGACAACATGGCTGGAGCTGAGCGATCTCCTCATTCACTTTCCAGTCCAGTGGCATGTTTTACAGGTCACTTGTGTTACGGAGCCCTGTGCCGTCCGTCTCAGAGACAGAACTCAGGATGCACACAGTCACTCCAGACATGATGAGTAACATTCCCAGCAGAGCTCCTACATGAGCAGAGAGACAGACAGTGAAAGATCTGTGTGGCAGAGTGAGTGATGTTATTAAAAGGTACTTTAATACCTTACCCTTTCCTCCAAACTCTTCTCCAAGCAATTTACCCATTAGTAATGTGAACAGAAATGTGAGTGAATTCACCATGGGAACAGCCAGAGATAGATCTACAAAACAAACAGCACTTCAGCATCTCAACACTACAATAATATTCTCTCATCATGATTGAGAATCATATAAACTGAAGAAATAGTAAGAGTATGCTATTCCTAACATAAGTTGTCAATACCTAGAAATTTCTCACCTGTAGAAGCGAGAGTGAAATAGAAAACTACTGATCCACTTTGGTTTAACAAGAATGGCACCAGATACTATAAAATAAATTATATATACAAATTATATAAAATATACAAAAATTCTGGTACAGACTACATGCATAACATAATTACACACCTTGAGATTAAGAAAAAGGAATTTGATCTCGGCCAAAAACTGGAGGAGTTTGTTGTCCCTCTGAACTCCTTCAATGCCCTGTGAGCCTTTTTTCAGGAAAGGGTTTGTTCCTCCCCACAAGATCGCGACCAACAACAGACAAAACACTTCACCTGGAGAGAACATTTATGCGATATTTTTAAAAGGACAATTCAACACATTTATATATATATAAAAAAAAAAAAAAAGACGGAACATATTGTGATTCCATATAAATATACGCAGACACACTTAAGACGCATTTACTGCTGAATTCGGAAACGCATACCGCCATTGAAAGAGACGGTAAACGTAGTGTGAGTTACTAGTATGCAGTTCCGAATTCAGCTCTAAACCTTTGTAAGCATAGTCACCTGCTGACACCATTCTACAAGTAAATGAAACTGGTACTGCATTTTCTTCTTCTTCTTCTTCTTCTTGTATGGTTTAATGGCGGTTGATAATCCAAGTTTTGGTGTATTACCGCCACCAACTGGACTGGAGTGTGAAGCAACAATGGAAGGAAAAACAAAACAATCATGAGGAAAGAAAAAAGAAATTAATTTGTGCCATGGATATGTCATTTAAATTCTACTTTACAATTCTGTTATTTTGAGATAACTAAGTATTTCTCTCTGTATTCTTGACTTGTCGAGGCAACTTAATAGATTTGATAGATTGAAATTGATTAAACCTATTATCTGCATGCAAATCCTTTCCAGCTAACACACAACGTCCCAGTTTTGTATCACTTCAACATTGCGTCAGCTTGGCGCTGCGGGAACTCTTTCCCTTCTCCAAAATTCCTGAAACCTTATAGGATAACACCAGTAAAACAACTGGCCAATTGTCTCGAAATATGTGAATCGCATGCAAATACTGACGAGCCTTCAGGCAGTATGTGGAGAAGCAACAATTGTGTCAGAATCTTTTTTCCTTCATGCTGTCAAAGACGCAACAGAAGAAAACACAACAGAACAAACTTCTTCACCGCATCCGATGGCTTCCTTCTGCTGACTTTGCGCGGGCCCCATCGAGCCCAGTACTGCATCGCCTGTCTGGGCCTGGCCCATGCTGAGGCTGCTTTCTACGAGTCTGACTGTGGGCACTGCGCCGACGTGCCAGCGTGTCTGCGTGTCTGCCGGAAGCTAGTTATTTTAGTCAATAAAGTTTTAACTGTGGATATTTTTCTTACACGAACACATAACTTCGCTTCAGAAGGCCTTTATTAACCCCCCGGAGCCGTGTGGATTACTTTTATCATGGATGGATGCACTTTATAGACTTCAAAACAGAAACGGCCATTCACTGCCATTATAAAGCTTGGAAGAGCCAGGACATTTTTTAATATAACTCCGATTGTATTCGTCTGAAATAAGAATGTCATATACACCTAGGATGGCTTGAGGGTGAGTAAATCATGGGGTAATTAAAATTTTTGGGTGAACTATCCCTTTAAGGAGCTCGACCACGCATGGGGTGCTCCTGAAGAGCCCAGTAGGAGTAAGCTCGACCCCTGGTACTTCCAGTCGGGCCGCCGCCAGGGTGTTTCGAGGAGGAGGACCCCGTTCTTGGTGAAATCATGGTCTGCACCCCAGTCAGCGCACGTCCACACACTACACAGGCCATTTTCTCCCACGTGGACGGGGCGGAAGCTCACGGTTACGTGTGCATGCCCCCCTTCGAGGAGACCATCGCCTCGCATCTATGCCCTTTCTTGGCCACAATTGACATGGATCTCAGCCTACCGTCCAAGCCATGCAGACTGACCGCCCATCTCCCTGACAAGGCTTACACCTCCGCTGGCGAAGCGGCATTCGCGCTGAACATGATGGCGGTGCTGCAGGTTTTTCAGTCTTTCAAGGAGCAGGATTCCCCACGAAGAGTGAGGGTTTCAGTACGGATGATTTGGGACCACTTCAGGAGGGCAGAGGTGGATCTATTTGCGATGAGCGTTGGTCGAGAGCCAGACTTTACGCATTACCTCCAGTAAAGATTTTGCCTCTGGTGTTATGCAAAATCAGGGAGTAGCTCGTCTCCCTGAACTGGCCGAATCAGCCTTGGTGTCCGGACCTGAGAGAGATGCTTGTGGCTCCGCCTTGGCGGGTTCCCCTCAGGAGGGACCTGCTGTCTCAAGCAAACGGCGCGATATGGCACTCCAGCCCAGAGTTGTGGAGCCTTCATGCGTGGCTACTTCAGGGGTCTTAGAGGGGTTAGGTGCCTTGCCTTACCGTGTGCTTGACACACTCAGGGAGTCTCGTGCGCCTTCCACCAGGCGCCTTTATGCTCTAAAATGGGTAGTGTTTGTGAAATGGTGCCGTGATAGCTATATCTACCCGGCAAACTGTCCCGTGTCGGATGTTTTACGTTTCCTACAGCACAGGTTGGATAACCGGAGCCTACTGTCCAAGCTAAAAGTTTATGTGGCCCCTATTGCCTCGTTTCATTCGCCGGTTGACGGGCAATCGATTAGGAGCCATGCGCTGGTGGTCAGATTTCTCAGAGGGGTAAGAAGATCCCCCATGCCGCTATGGGACCCAGTGCTGGTTCTGAAGGCTCTCTCTCTTGCCCCGTTCGAGCCCTTGGCATCTATCGCTGTTAAGGAGCTCTCTCTTGCCTTTTGCCCTTGTTTCGGCTAAGCACATAGGAGATTTACATGCGTTCTTGGTGGACAGTGATTGTAATCACTTTGGACCCGGCCGAGACCGGGTTACGTGCCTAAGTCTCTTTGTACTTCCTTTAAAGCACAGGTCATTTCTCTACCCGCTTTGTCTTCCGATGCGTCAACCTCGCATGACAAGGCTGTTTTGCCCTGTCAGGGCTTTGTGGGGTTAGACTGCTCGGCCACCTTTCAACAGTCGTACCAGCTTTTTGTGTGCTACGGTGGCTGTACTAAGGGACATGCAGTTTCTAAGCAAAGACTCTCTCATTGGATAGTGGATTCACTTTGGCTTAATTGTAAGAAAAGGGTATTTTTCATGACCACAGAAAAATAATTCTTTCTTAACATGTACAGCGCTTAGATCATGTAACAAGACCAGAAATCGTTAAATTGACTTTGCGGCAAGCAGAGAATCAAAACCAAATATGTATTGTGCACAAGTTTTATTAACTAAGTAACGAACACAACAAATCTAAACACATACACACAATCACACATACATGGGTAAAATGGTAAGTGACTAAATGAAGCTGGAAACGGAAACAGGGAATGAAGCTATGGAAAAGATTCAAAACCTCTGTTTAGTCAGTTAATTGTACAATACTTGCATTGCCGTTGGAGTTGAAGCAGTTTCGTAAAGTTTCTGATTTGATGGTTCCGTGAGTCAATGGCGTTGAAGTTGCAATCGATTTCTTCTGCATTGAATGAAGAAGATATGATGAACTTGCATGGTTAGTTCGACTCTGTGATGGTCGAGGAAGTTGGACATGACTTGATATGTTGGGCCTGCCGGCCTGCGACCGCGTGGTCGGACCGGGTTTCTGGTCTCACACACGCACAGCGACCTGCAGAAGCAGGAAGAGAGGGAGGAACTTGTGTGGATGCTCTATAAAGCCTGGGACAAGTCACACCTTTCAGGGTTGGCTTGACTAATGAGAAAGGTGAAATTCCTCTGTTAGGAGGTTTTATGACCCTTATGGAGCATGGTTAGAACAGGTCTGGCAGTTTGTGTCCATTTATACTCCGATTAATATAACAAATAATATAACACTGCATTCTATGAGGAGGTGATGTCCACTAAAGTGTGAGTCGTTAAATGAAGATTAATTAGATAGGAGACACGATATAGGTGGGGTTACATTAATTAGTAGTTCTCTAAAGCATGCATGAAATAAATACAAAAGCCAGAGGCACTATACAAGATATAATAATAATAATCATACACACAATGTCCTGGGATGCATGTTCATTTATAGAACAGTTCGTCTATAAATGAAAGGGATAGTTCACCCAAAAATTAAAATGACCCCATGATTTACTCACCCTCAAGCTATCCTAGGTGTACAGGACATTCTTCTTTCAGACAAATACAATCAGAGTTATATTTACAAATGTCCTGGCCAATCCAAGCTTTCTAATGGGAGTGAATGGCTGGAGAAAATTTGAAGCCAAAAAAAGTGCATCCATCCATGATAAAAAAAAATACTCCACAAGGCTCCGGGGGTTAATAAAGGCCTTCAGAAGCGAAGCCATGGGGTTTTTTTACGAAAAATACGCATATTTATAACTTTATAATCTAAAACAACTAGCTTCTGCCAGACGACCGTACGCATACTACGCAAGTCGACTTGCACCACAGGAGTAACCCATGACACGTGTATGACTTATGATGTAGGAGTATCGTAAGCTTAGACGCCTCTCGCGGTTTAAACAAATAGGACTGTGCAACAAACTGAAGCTCCTCTTCTATTATATAGAAATCCTCCGACATTTCCCTTCAAAATTGCTAATTCACGACCTTTTGTTTTGCTCTTGTCTCTGAGCTACAGCGTTCGTCATTACTCTGTGCGTCGGGTCAGGGGTTAGTCTTCTACCGTAAATCGATGCGTATGGTCGTCTGTCGGAAGCTAGTGATTATAGTTTATAAAGTTTTAAATATGGTTATTTTCCTTACACAAACTCATGGCTTCACTTCAGAGGGCCTTTATCAACCCCCTGGAGCCATATGGATTATACTTTTATCATGGATGGATGCACTTTTTGGGCCTTCAAATTTTCTCCAGCCATTCACTCCTATTATAAAGCTTGGATGAGACAGGAAATGTTTTAATATAACTCCGATTGTATTCGTCTGAAAGAAGAATGTCATATACACCTAGGATGGCTTTAGGGTGAGTAAATCATGGGCTAATTTTAAAATTGGGGTGAACTAACCCTTTAATTCAGAAGAGTCTGCTTGATGTGTCTTTCCTTTCCTACTAGATCAGGGGTCGGGAACCTATGGCTCGCGAGCCACATCTGGCTCTTTGGCAAAAATCATGTGGCTCGCGAGGTCTCTCACCCTTTACCAACAAACGAGCGATAAAAAAAAATTAAGACATCAATAGAGATCGGCTCTCTGCCGAAAAATCAGCCAATTACAATTCCCTTGTTGGCCTACAGCCTACCAAAGTTAATGAAAAGTTTATGATAATAATTATATTCATGTTGTACCGGCAAAAGTGCGTATTCAGTGCTGGTCGCGAGTATCACGAGTCATCAGAGCAATCAACTAACCACTTAGGCTACGTCTCTGTGGTAACCTACTGTACAGCTCCTGCACTGGGATTCAAGCAGCTGCAGCTTGTTTAAGGTAGGCCTAATGGCGAAAAGCAGCAAAAAATGTAAAATAAGGCTATATAAACTTTAATATATCATTTTATTGAAACCGGTGCTTTGCTGTGCAGAGACATTTCGAAACATTTCACCCGCTGGTACTTTCACTTTTGCCGCAGAGACCCTTTATGACACATGATAAATGTGTCGTATTTTTGATAATCCATGCAGATTTCAGTTGACGATTCTGTTTAAAGTAATTAATAACAAAACATGAAGGAATGAGAGAAAAAAAGAGCAGGATGTGCTTTATATTGAAAAGAAATATTGAAAGCACGATAAGCCGGGAAAGAGAACGGAATTCTACTGGCAGGATGCTGTGCGCTCCGAGCGCAACACGGACAAGCATAGTAGACGGCCAAATAAAGAAATATATCGAAATGCCAAGTCGAGTATTCACGTAAACACAGCAGATGTAAGTACTGTGTGCATTCTCTCTCTCTCTCTCTCTCTCTCACACACACACGCAGAGAGGATTTATGCTCATCAGTTGGTAACTCAATCTCACAGTGAAAGCCCTTCACAATTACATGTTACATTTTGAAACTTTATTGTTTGCTGAATATTTGTTTGTTTTTAATTGTTTATGGACCTAATAATTACTCCTGTTGAAATTTTATTGAAAAAAGCACGTCTTTAATAATAATATATATATTTTTTTTTTTACTGTGGCTCTTTTGGAAAAATGCATTAACCAAAAATGAAAAAATGGCTCTTTGGACAAAAAAGGTTCCCGACCCCTGTACTAGATCAAAGCTCTGCATTCTTTCAGGTCATAAAACCATGGCAAGCAGAGGCCTGGTTTTCTTACTTTGGGGGTTGTCGTATACACCTTGGCATCTTGTTTTGTGGTTGGTAAGGGGTTTTATAGATTATTTGTTAAATATAACAAATACTTGTGTCTGATTTGTCTCAGTCGTTACATTGGACTGCGCCTGATCAAAGTTTGTTACCGCTTTGGCTGTTGTTGACTGTGCATGAACATTCTTATATTTGCTGACTGTTGTTCTGTCTACCCTGTATTCAGTGCAGCCCGCCCCCTTGTGCTGATCTAATATGCTAATTTTGGTGTACTTGAGCTGGCAGCTCAGCGGTCTAGCTGTGAGCTGTCTAGCATTACTATCAGCTGTGAGCACTCCTAGCGGTGTCACTATTGGTATGAATTGTGTGCTGTACTCCATTATTGGTGTAAGCCCTGTTTCTTCGGGCTGATCTTTACCATTCTCACGGGGGGGTGTATACAGTTCCCACAGCATCAAGCTGACGCAATGTTGAAGTGACCGCTCTCGAAAGAGAATGTCTCTGGTTACTGTTGTAACCTCGGTTCCCTGAGAGACGGGAACGAGACATTTGGGTAAGCCGCCGTGCTCACTGCTCGATCAGCTGAGCAAGCGTTCAGGCTTGTCTGAAGCCCGAAGGCTCATCAGTATTTGCATGACAATTGGCCAGTTGTTTTTTCTGGCATTATCCTATAAGGCAGGGATTCCCAAAGTGTGGTACGCGCACCCCCAGGGGTACGCGAGCTGCCACCAGGGGGTGCGCGAGAGGAAAAATGTTATGGCGGTCTGTTTTGTAAGTGGGATTTTTTGCCATACAATAAAATAAAAACCATGAACAGTAAACATTTCCTTTGTAATCGCTTTTATTTTAAATTAAAAAAACTATAATTTATTAGTTTTTGATAGAAACGTTAAAAACAGCTGCTGTCTTCTACGCACTGCTCTGCACTGCAGCCGCTAACGTGACAAATGTGCTTTCGCGTGTTGGCTGGCGCTGAGCCAGTGCTGTCATATATCACAACCATTGAGTGTTTTCAACCACGTAATGTTTATTTTAGGTTTCAGACATTTAAATACACATAAGTACTAGCAAAACAATGATTTTGATTTTGCTGATTTCTATGGAAGCGGCAATATTAATCCTTTTCATTATAATAAGACGACACGTTGTATTCAAATCAGATACACATTGTGTACGTAGCTTCACATTTTACCCTATTCTTCTCCCAGTTCACCGGCCTCTTACTTTCATGTATTTCGTGAGAAGTGGAGGAATTGACGTCACGTGTTGTAAATCCAACAGATCCGATTCTCTGAACTGTGGCACAAACTAACGATCGTTATGAAGGCGTTTGAACAATAAAACACATCCACTTGCACATATTTGACAATCGGAATCTCAGTGTTTAATGCTATAGCTAATACATTTGTGAATATTTTTGATAAAAAGGAAAAATGACATAAAAGCAGAACATCATTCATTCAGCGCTGTGTTGTGGTTGCGCTGTGTCACGTGACAAGGAATGACGCGTCACCATGGAAACATTAAAGTGACAAGTTCTAAATAACGGTCGCCTTGAAAAACTCACGCTGTGGGGTCAGTTAAAATATTTTAAACTTACGTGTGAAAGGGTTAAAAGTGAAAACTTGTGCGTAGCTTTGTTGCATTATATTGAAACTTTGTTGATATTGTTATTGTCATGAGTGTTCTGGTTATTAGCGCATGTTTAAACATGCGTCTTTATAAAACAAAAGCGATAAAACAAAGCTTTGTTGCATTTTTTTTTGAAGTGGGGATTGGGGGTGCGCCAACCGGGTTGGGACATAGAAGGGGGTGCGCAGGAAAAAAGTTTGGGAACCGCTGCTATAAGGTTTCAGAAATTTTGGAGAAGGGGAAGAGTTCCCGCAGCGTCAAGCTGACGCAATGTCTCGTTCCCTCCTCTCAGTCCCTTTAAACTGTTGCTCTCTGTCTCATCCTGACAGGCATCCTGTCACCATAAACTCGCCTGTCAATTATATTGTCACAGTTAAAATCCTCCACATTTCACTTAATTTCATTCCCTGCTGTACCTGATCTTCACCACTTTTTCACGGCAGGATTGTATACAGTTCCCAAAGCATCACTTCGCAATGTTGAAGTGACCACTCTTGAAAAGGAACGTCTCTGGTTACTGTTGTAACCTCGGTTCTCTGTGATGGATCAATGTTATTATTATTATTATTATTATTTTACTCCACCTGTTTTTTTTTGTTTTTTTGCTATTTAGTTATATTTTGTTATTTGTTTTAAATCAGTTGTTTTGATGTATTATGTTTGATACAGTTCAGGGTTTTGTTCTACAATATCCTGCCATAATTGTCAAACTTTAAATAAAACTAAACTAAACTAATAATAATAAAACAAGCAAATCAGTGTCTTTAGGATTACTAATGCTGCTGTTACTAATAATTCGCTTATACTACTATACTTTTGTGAAGAAAAAGTACATACTTTTGAGTGTGTAGCAAAAGAGTAGGCTATAGTTAATATTTTATAGTGATTTGCATAATTAGTCAACGCTGTAGGCTACTTGGTTTATTGTGCTAGGAAAATAAGATCCGGCAAGTTTGATGTGTTATTGCGTTAATAAATTACGATGGTTGGTTTCCCATCACATTGCAGTTTGAAGTTGCAGTTTGATTAGCCTACACTAAACTTGTTGGTGGAATTGTTTAACCAGAACACACACACAGTTATGCTGTTAATGTCCTAAAAATGCACTGCTAACAAAGCCCATTTCATGTTGATTTTTACATTATTAAAAATAATAAACGTACAATGTAAACTAATGTGTTCTAAGTTGGAGTCACCAGCTGCATGCTCTGGACTGGACATATTTGCTTGTGTCTTCTTAATGGTTTACTTAGCGTCTGTAGAAACCAGGCTGCCTCTGATAACACCAGCAACGAATTTAACGATCGTGACACGTGTTGCTACAAAAAAAAAAGAAAAAAAGAAATGATCGCAGTCTCATCTCAAAGATGTTTCTTTTATGTTGCACGTGGATCGTCGGTGCTGGTAAGAAAAGCTTATTTATAATAGAATGTTTTAACGTATAATTATTATGAAGTAAATCCTTAGCCTACATACGAGAGTCATTTCACCATTAGTTTTCAAGCAGTTGCATCTGGTAGCTTAGAAATTAGAATAAACCTTTGATACATTATTTTGCATTGCAGGCTATGCATACCAATATTTATTAAACACTTTTCATAATGTTTGTTTTTAAATGTGGTATTCGTATTAGGGGTTGTAATGTTTATAAGGTACTCTTAAGTATAAAGATGATATTTTTGTCATCTGATTATTGATGTCGAGATATTAAAAGTTTTGATTAACTAATTATGTTAAAGTGAATCCCTTGAGTGAGATCCCATTAAGTGGCATGCTGTTGATGGTGTTTGTATCATGTAATGTAGGCTACTGTTGGTCATAATAGTGATTCAACCCTGAATACAAGCTACAAAATCTTTATTTTTATTTTGTGTAAATGAGAACAAATCTTACATTAAACTTAAAGTCAGACCACATTCTTTTAGCCTCTTTTAGGGTGAATGTTCCTGACAAGTTTTTGGTGGCGATCCGGGGTCGTCCAGCTGTACTAGCCTGTGAGTTCACACCAGATCCTGACCTGTCCAGCTTGGTGCTTACCTGGCAACGGGACTCACGTGTTGTCCACAGCTTCTATTATCAACAGGACCAACTGGACCGCCAGAGTCCAGAATACCATAATCGGACATCATTGTTTATTTCAGAGATTGGTAAAGGAAATGCCACCCTTAGAATAAATTCAGTTGGACCTAAGGATGTGGGTCAGTACCTGTGCCTAGTGAGCAATGCTAAAGGGACGGGAAAAGCTCAGATAGAGCTGGACTACGGGGGTATGCTGTACTTAAAATAAACAGAAATAATTTTTTATGCCTTGTTATTATTAAAGCTTGGAAAAGAAAAGAACGTTTTAAACTTCAATGGTGACTTCAGTATGTTAACTGATACGCAGTATATCTTATATACAATTATCTGTAGCCTATTTGAATATGTTTAGATTTGTTTAGTCAAATGCCTGTAACAGTAATACATATAAGACAGCTTATTAAGTACAGAATTATGGAGAAAAGGACATTCTTTAGGATATTTTTAAAACGACTAAAAGTTACTGTTGGTGTATCTTTGCTTCCTGAGGATACTAAATGAACTCTCTATGTTTCTCAGCTCTTTACTCTGAGCCCAGGTTAGGCATCCATGTAAACTCCTCTGCATTGACAGTGCAGTTTGAGACAGAGGGATTCCCCAAACCTGAGGTGATCTGGCTGGATGAACATGGCCAGAACCTCAACTATCACCTGGAGCTCCATGACCAGTCAAAAGATGGGCTTTATTTAGTCAAGAGCAGCTATGAGGCCCAGAAGCCGGCGGTTAATGTCACATTTACACTAAAGAACCACCTCCTGAACCAGAAACTTCAGAGACCCATGTTCCTCAGCTATGGTAAAGACCCTCTTTCACTCTGAACTAAGTGCATGTCAGAAGGTATTCACTGGGGTTAGTGAAGTAAAATTGTGATATTAAAATTCAGACCTATTCACCATGAAAATGGAAGTATAATAGTCATAATAGCCATGATTTATCCATAATGAACGTATAGGCTGAATATAATAAGATGTTCACAGTCTCTGTGAAAGTGACATTGAATTAAGTGCTATATGACATGTGAGAGGCTTTGTGAATTCATTACAATTCTGCAGGCACATTTTCAGTGTGTTATTTTAATAAGAATAATAGTCCATTGACTATCAAGGAAAAAAAACACTTCTCACATCACCTCATAATAAAAGAATGAAACAGTATATTTTTAAACCAGTTTTCCTAGGAACAGTTGACATCAGATAATAAACTTAGATCTGTTGTCTTAATCACGCTTTCATAGAGACAACCACAAATGGAGGAAATTAACTCAATGTCTTTTCTTTAAACCAAGTTTTTCCTTTCAACCAAAGCAGAAATGGAAACGTTGATCAGCCCATAGTGTTTTAACACAAGTTTTACTTGCTCAACCAGCAGTGAGTAAAAAATCTGATGAAATTACTGCTACATGTTGTATTGATGCAAAGATGATGGATATAATGTTTAACCATACTTAAATAAGCTAACATGAGGAAGAACAGATGCTGGGTTGTTGTAATTTCTTCTAAAAAATAGTGTGTGGGAAAAAGCAGCCAGCATCAGATTACTCGCAATGATTATGTTACACAGTCAACTAGTACAACTAGTTCGGTTTGAAAACCTAGTTTGAGCAGTAACTGTCGTTCAAGTTACTTTGTGTCATTGATTTTGTAAGGCTGGAAGCACGCTGCTATTTTGAACCAATAATCGGAACAAAAGGCAGTTGAAGGATGGCGTGTATAATTCAAATATTTATCTGACTCCAATATAATTCATCTGACTCCATTAAAGTTGTTGTTAATCTTTGACCTCTTATTCTTTAAAGGTAAAGGTCTTTCTTAGAACTGATTGGAAAACGTAGGATTTAACCTGAACGTTTAGATAACGAAAGTTATAAACACTTTAGCTTTTAACAATCAGTCATAAAAGGAACGATTTTTAAAGCCTTAACACTTGTATTATCTGAAGCTTGATTTCAATTTGGTGCTAAATCCTCTAAACCCATTTTTAATAATAATAATAATTTTGGTTTGAGGTAGAATCGATGCTTTATATCCAGTAATATTATTGATTTGATTGCATTGACACTATCAGATGCGAACTGAACTGAGCTAGATGATGACATCACTGTTTTCTCCAGATGCTTTATAGCGGAATTGATGATTGATGAACTTTGCAGTTATTGAACTGAACTGGATCAACACTGAATTGACTTCAGCTGAACAATGACACTGTTGTCTTTTTAGAGCTGCTTTACAGCAGAATTCTGTTTGCACCATTGATGTCACTTTCCTGTTTGTTTTTTTTCTTTCAGTTTCAAATAAGGCTGGAGGGAAGATGGCAGCAATAATTTCTCTGTCAATAATAAGCGTCATTCTTTTTGCTGTTGTGATGCTTTTACGATTTAAAAAAACAATAAAACCCCATATTTGAACCTCGTCCGCTTTCCGTAAATATATTGGTTTCCATTGAGCTGTCTGGAAAGAGATTCCCATCTGCTAAGCAACACATATTTAATGAGAATAAAATTGCATAAAAGCAATGTTATCATCCTCACAAACCCTTAAAACCACAAATATTGTTTATGGTCCATGATTATGCAGTCTACTTGCGTAAAACAGTTCAATTCATCAAGGCTGTTGCCTATGCTGTCATCATGGCAGTATCCTCCCAACTTATTGCTAGTTGCACAGAAGTCTATAGATTACAGAGAATTGCTGTGTCAACAATGACAACACCAGAAGAAAATCCCTTAAACGGTGAACAGTTGATACTGTAAACACTGGGTTTCTAAGGGAATCTAGATTCTTATTATTGAAAGGTGCAAGGGCAGTAATGATGTTTGGCTTGGGTTTGTAATGAATGGATGGGCCAGCTCTTGCATGTTACACAAAAGGTAAATGCTCCATATTTGCACAAGCATCCAGTACAAACTTCAAAATATGCAGAAGTTTAGTGTATTACTTATGTCAAGGTAAGCACAATATTAAATCAATTGTCTATTCATACCATACAGAATCATGATTATTGCAGTAGTTAAAATATTAAATATTAAGTTGAAAATTCAGTGTGTGAGTAAATTCCCCCTGTTGTTAAATTTCATATGACAGATTGTTGCACAAAAACAAATACACAACAGAAAAATAAATAAGCAGTGAATACAAAGAAATGACTTTCGGCACACCCATAAACTCCCTCTTACAGTCTCTTTTTTGTTGGCATGTGTGTAAATTGTAAATACATCTGCTCATTCAAGCATTCTTGCGTAAACTGACGTTAACTAAAGAATTTGATTGTATGTACACTGAACAGACATTTGCTCTGCTTGGGTTTCACATGGCCAGTGATGTATGAGCACAGCAATGCAACGAGTCGAAACATGCATGCAAAGCCTTAGCCACAGCTTCAAACAGGAATCATTAATTGACATGGTTCACAATCACAGCTGAAGGTCTCCACTTGTTTCGTCTACGCACAAACCAAATTATAGCAATGACCAGAAAAACGCAAACCACGGACAGGACAAGAGCGATGGTGCCTTGATTTGCAGTTTTGTCCTTATCTGAAACAGAAAAAGAAGCTTTGCTTAATGTGGTAAGTGCTTCAGAATGTGTCGAATGCACTATTAAATCCAGATTGAGATGGATATTATACATTGTATCTCACAATATAAAAAAAAGCATTTAAGATTAATAATAAAAAGCCTTCAAAAAGCTTTCAAACCCTGAAATTCAATATATGGATATATTGGAGGTGTACAATCAGTCACTCAGATGACAAGACAACTAACCAAAACCATTTATGCTGGTATATTTGTGAATAAACTTGTTCACATTCTGTAATCACAATGTGACACACTGAATATCATGTCTGAGTTTACAGTTGATTTTTTTTTTTTTTGGTTTTGTTTGTTTAAAATGCCATCTACTGTGTTCTTCTGTCCACTAGTTAACCTTTAGAAATGTATGTCCGTTAAAGTAGAAATTCTCTGGAGCTCCACTAATGGAAAATTCTTGTAACTAGGTTACAGAGGCTTCTGCACAAATATTTGACAAGGAAAAACAGGCCACTCATGTATAAAGTTAGATTACAGTCTTATGATAATGGCAAATGGCTTCCATGATTTCATGTAAGGCACAATGCTTCTGTTGAAAGATTTTAATGATATTTTAGGGAAAAAACAAACTGCTATAATTAGTGTTTCCAAACCCTGTTCCTGGAGACCCACCAATGCTACACCCACATTAATCCAGATATTTGAAAATAATGCTTACCTATCCACCTTACTGTGCATGCATTTCAGAAAGATATGATTCCTTTCACATTATATAGTTTATCTTAGTGTGGACCAATGTGTAGAGAAAAAGATGCAGCTGGTAGTACAGACTCCAAGAGCTCAAATTGATGGGTCAGAAAAGGGAGACATTTAAAATGTGTTCTGTTGGTGTGACTTCAATAGGCCAATTCCTAAACCAAACCACTAGGAGTTAAATCAGAAATGATAATGATAGTTCAAATCAATAACCCATAGGCTAACCCTAAACCTAACCTTTAAATATTATTGGTTGATAGGCGTGCTGATCCATGAACAACTTATACTTGGGTAAATTATGTCTAATAATTAAAGTATGTCTGATCTTAATCTTGACAAACCATTTTAAAAAACACTGAATCATTCTCAGTTTAAATACTATTAAATAGCTGTTAATTACCTTCTGGGTTATGAATAATGGGTGCAGCCAAAATTAAATCTCAGTAAACAGCACTGCAGTTTATTTTAGCTTATTTACCAACATCCAAGCCTCTTTAAATTACATAATACTTAGATAAATGTAGTTTGCTTTGGGTTTTTCTACATTAGGCAAAAGTGCGCAATTATGCGCAATCACCTCCATGACTCACATAAACCATTGTACACACCTTTCTCATTTATCAAGTTTTTATCAGCTATGCAATTCCAATGGTCTTACATCGGTTTTATAACTGGAAAAGTCAAGTCTGTAGATGAATCAATTGAATCACTGTTCTATTATTTCCGTATTTTTTTGTGGTGTGGAAATCCAACCTAATGTAGACAAAGGAGTTCTGTGTTGTTAAATAGCATGAAAATGATGCCAACAAATCACTTGAGACAAGTCAAACATGCCTTAAATGCATAGAGTAACGGATGACATTCCTCTAACCGCCACCTCCTCACACACACTTTGCACACAGAAAGTCATACCATAGCTGAGGAACACGGGTCTCTGAAGGTTCTGGTTCAGGAGGTGGTTCTTTAGCGTAAATGTGACATTAACCGCCGGCTTCTGGGCTTCATAGCTGCTCTTGACTAAATAAAGCCCATCTTCTGTCTGGTCATGGAGCTCCAGGTGATAGTTGAGGTTCTGGCCATGTTCGTCCAGCCAGATCACCTCAGGTTTGGGGAATCCCTCCGTCTCAAACTGCACTGTCAATGCAGAGGAGTTTACATGCATGCTTAACCTGGGCTCAGAGTAAAGAGCTGAGAAAGAAACACATAATCAGCTGTGTTGTATTGAAATATACTGAAGTAAAATTGTTTTAACCACTAAAGTAATCTTCTAGCTTATAAAATGTATTTTACAGCAAAGCATAACTAGGACACTGTTCACTGGAAATCACACTTTATATATTTCAAGGCTTTTCATGACCATGGGAAACATGAAACATGATGCAGCAAAACCACTCAATTCTCAGGATACCTAATCCTCAAACAAAAATAAACTTAACAATAAAGTGAAACAGGAAGATGAATAGCTAATTTGTTTATGTTTACTCTGTATCAAATGAAAATGAACCAATTCATAAAAGCCGAGCTGTACGCTATTGAATCACAAATGATTATTTTGTCAATTAGACTACACTGGAATTGGAGGTCAGTAAATTCAGTAAATACTTTAAATTCAGTAGCAGTGTTAAAGAAAAGTACAGGAATCACTGAGCATTTTCGTATGGTGATCCGTCCACATTGATGGAAGAATGCATATGCAGGAACAGTTAATGCAACGAAACGTCATTTGGTTGCTAATATATATATATATATATATATATATATATATTATTATTATTTACAATGGAACTGATTCTGAATAGGAACCAGTTCTCAGTTCCAAAACTTACATTAATCACTGGATTTACTTTTCCAAAACCATAAAAAAAAGACACATACCTCCATAAGTCACTTTCATCGAGGCTTTTCCTGTTCCCTTTGCATTGCTCACTATGCACAGGTACAAGCCTGCATCCTTTGGTCTAACTTCTGCAATTCTAAGAGAGGCATTTCCTTTATGAAGCTCTGAAATAAAAAGTGACGTCCGATTGTGGAATTCTGGACTCTGTCTGTCCAATTGGTCCTGCTGATAATAGAAACTGTGGACAACCTGCGAGTCCTCCGATCGTTGCCAGGTAACCACCAAGTTGGAGAGGTCAGGATCAGGTGTGAACACACAGCCCAGTACAGCTGAACCACCCCGGATTGCCAGCAGATGCTTATCAGTGACAATCACTTCAAATGAGGCTGAAAAGAGGCAGCAAGAAGAATTTAGAGTTGCTTGAAGAAACACTGCTGGTTACCCAAAGGGGTCATTATCATGAGAAATCAAGTTTTCCTTCATATTTAATATATTCCTTCATACATTCGCTATAGCAACTATTTATAACATAATGAAATATTTCATATTTAAATGTCACTTGGGAAATTTTTTTTTTTTTAGAATGATGCTTTATCCAGCCTTGTAATATCTTGGACTCAACTCTGTATATAAGCATCAATCAATGGTGGTATGAGTTTAGGGTGCTTTATTGTTCATAATTTGAAATTCAAATGTTTATCTAATGGGAGGACTGTAAGTTGTAAAGGAATAAAAAATGTAAATAAAGTTTAAGAGATCAAGTCTGTTTAGTAGAAGAAAGAAGAACCATTTCCATTTATTCCATCAACCATTTATTTTAAATACACAGCTGTCAAGAAATTCAGTCTATAGTTTGCCTTTTAAATTATATATGTTTTGATGTGCAGTCTTTAATTGCACTGACTTAAGTAATAGCTACCTTCTAGGCTATACCCTGTAATTTTTCAGAACAAGGACTTTAGTGAAAAAACACTTCCGTGGCCTTGTGTGCCCTTACGAAAAAGAAGTTTGAAAGAAAGAAGTGTGCTATTAGTATACTTATTTTAAATTAAAAATAAGAAAGTATACTTTCAGTCTACTTTTTATGTATCTCTCAGAAATATACTTAAAATTGCACTTAAAGTATACTTGACTTATACTGACAGAAAAGTTATGCATACAAGTATGCTGTAGCTTATATGGCCTATAATTATCTTTTTATCGAGATATACTTAAAGTATAATTAAGTTCGCTTTGCTTGTAGTATTTTCTAGCTAGCGCTATTTCACCCACAAAGAAAGCACGAGTATCTAAAAGTTTTTTTTAGAAAAGTCATTGTTCTTGATTTTGAATGTTATGCTGTATGCACGGTGACATATCGCATCAGACAGCTTTATTATAACGCCCTGCGATTTATATTAAATGTAAGTAAGTCTTACCCACAACAAGAGCATCCGCGAAGCACAAAAGAAGCCAAAGCATCCTCGCAGGGGAGTCAGGAACATGGTTTAAATAACGAATCAGTTCAGTTTAGCGTTGATCCCATGCAAGTCAGAAATAAAATGTATTCATTAAGCTATATTCTACTTCACGGTTTACGTGATATCTCAAGCCATAGTTAGAATCTCAAGCGAAGTATAGGATTTATCAAATTCCCTTTGCAGATATGCGTCCACTCCCCTGCAAGTTACAAAGCTTCCACCTGGCTGCAGGTTACAGCCATACAGCGGTGCTGAGCGCAAGAGAGGGGCGTAATAGGAAGTGGGCGTAATTTAAAGGGGGGCGTGACTTGAAGTTGTGGCACACACATTTTAATGATTTGCTAAATGAATTGTTAGTACAAGAAATTATTAACCAAATGCAGGAAATGAATCATTACTGGTTCACCATGATTCTCATCTAGATGATGCTGCAACCAAGGATTTGATTTTACTTCCTTCATGGGAGTCAGGGCACTGGATTATATGTGTATGTTATTTTTTTCCCATATGTTAGCCTGGTATGCATAATGTACTTGTACTTTTTGGTTGTTATACCCATAATTACACTAGTGCGCATTATGGACTCTCGATTGGTGCAATTCTCAAGGATGCGCCAACATTTTGGCCATCGAAAATTTCAGCTGAAATCCTAAATTTCAGGATAAAAGTCACAAACTAAGCGGACATATCATGTTGTATGGTTTATAATAATAATTCATCACATTTATATAGCGCTTTTCTGGACACTCAAAGCGCTTTACATAGAAGGGGGGATCTCCTCAACCACCACCAATGTGCAGCATCCACCTGGATGATGCGACGGCAGCCATATTGCGCCAGAACGCCCACCACACACCAGCTTACTGGTGGAGAGGAGACAGAGTGATGAAGCCAATTGGTATATATATATGGGGATGATTAGGAGGCCATGATGGACAGAGGCCACTGGGCAAATTTGGCCAGGATGCCGGGGTTACACCCCTACTCTTTCGAAAGACATCCTGGGATTTTTTGTGACCACAGAGAGTCAGGACCTCGGTTTAACGTCTCATCCGAAGGACGGTGCTCAATTGACAGTAGTATAGTGTCCCCATTACTATACTGGGGCGTTAGGACCCACACAGACCACAGGGTGAGCACCCCCTGCTGGCCTCACTAACACCTCTGGTTAGCACCTCACCTGGTTTTCTCAGAAGGTCTCCCATCCAGGTACTAACCAGGCTCAGCCCTGCTTAGCTTTAGTGGGCAACCTGTCTTGGGCTATATACAGGGTGATATGGCTGCTGGGTTTAGGTTTGTTGGTAGCCAGCCTATTATCTAAACTTTGAAAGTTCTTTTGAGGTCGTGTCTGCTACACACATCAACATACTGTGTTTTAAAACAAGATGATGTTAAGTCACACTAATGGAAGGAAATTACTTTTTACCTTTGTAAAGTATTTTAAGAGTAGTAGAATTTAATGATATAGTTATTCAGACCAAAGCTAATATACATGTATAAATTATTTTTTACATTTTTTGTCAAGAATTATTTTTTTTCCTGTACATCGGTAATTTCTAATGTCATGTTCTTTTACAGATCCTCAAGCCAAAGTCAAAGGAGATTTTCTAACCCTGTAGACTTTGGACATGGGAGTTAAATTCAGATTTTCGTGTTTAGCACATTTCTATTTCTACTGTTCTGCATTCATACATGCGTGTGTTTGGAGTTCATAGTAACACAAATGGATGTCTGTGTTCTTATGTATACCAGCTTGTTTTATTTTGTAATGGTCTTTACTTCATTTTAAATGAACTGGCTATACATTCTTTTTTTTTTTTCACAGGTGGAGCAGTGATGGTAGTACTTTCATTCAACTGCATGAACCGAAATGTGTTGTGCATTATGAAATATATGGTGGATCTGTTTGAGCTCATACTTTTATGTTTCAGCCATGGTTTTCAGTATTATATAATTATTATTCAGTCATAGTCAAGTCATCTTCATTTATATAGCGCTTTTAACAATGTAGATTGTTCCAAAGCGGCTCTATAGTGATAAACAGACAATTTAAATAATAGTAAATAAATCATAGTAAAACCAAACCACTGGCTCTAACATTTTTATTGCAATATGATAAATGATGTCTTTATTTACATGTGACTGCCCGTGAATAAATCATATTTTTTATTGTTGTATTACTTTAGAAAACTGGCAAATCACATTTCTCCCGGCCATTGGAACATGTCTGTACTGACAGATTTGGAGGTGCAGCTCTTTGCTAGTAAACTTTTCATATCTGTAGTAGTATTAAGAAAGAATGCAGTACACAGTTGTCACATAACCCACTGAGGGTGAATTGAGTAAATCAAGTGCATGTTTTTAACAAAACTTTAAACAAACAAAGACTTTAATTAAACAACACAAAAAACTAATCACCGGATGTGAAAGCTATATACTGTTGTATATGGTCTAATTGTACATGGTGTAATCAGTCCAGGGAGGTGCATGATGGGAAATGAAGTTCAGTATTCAGGTGACGGTGTCCTTCGGCGATCGGAGAGAGCCACGGATGTGCGATCTATGACACCGATAATGTTTTTGCTACTCCTGTTTAAGGCTGCTCTTAGCTTTTCTGCACTTATCTGTGCTGTGCTGTTATGTCTTTAATTTTTTTAACTTTGTAGTTCTGTAAAGCACTTAGGTCAGTCATTGGCTGTTATAAAATGTGCTAAATAAAATCAATGAAAAAAGTGTTGTGTTCTTGGGATATATATATATATATTTTATGTTAGATAAACATTTTGCTAATTTAGGCTAATAGAAACAAATAAATCCAACTAAACACTTGTGGGAGAGTGGAGTATGTGACTATTAAATTACATTTATCTTCTCCCAAATGTGGTTGGAGTGGATGCCTCACTAATCTCAGAGCACATTTGTTATCTTGTTTTTCCTCTAGTGTGAGAAGTCACATGGCTGGTTTTAGAGTACTACTCTTTTCTATTTCATTAAAATAGCTTAATGCATAGCCTATCACATGAAGGTTGAGTATATCCAATATTACAGTCAATATTCCATTTAAATTTTCAATATAAAAAAAAAATTACAACTGGCCTGTTGGAGTAGCCTTTGCTTTTACATTTACGTACAAAAAGGGCAGATTAGGTACCTAGTCTTATTATTTTTATTTCATAAATTAATCAGATGATTTAGATTAATTCACAAAAAACACACATGTTACTGCGGTGGACAAAAAATAAACGGGTGCACAGATAGTAAGCTTTCACATTGCCTTTTAAGTCTAGTAATTTACATAATCATATAGCAGACGTTTTTGTCCAAAGCGGCTTTAAACGTGAGGAAAACAACGAAACTGTTCATCGTAATAAAGAGAAAATAATACACAAAGTTTCAACAGTTTGAAATGTGGCGGAGAACATGATTATGGGCAATGTGGAGAGGGGGTTGAACCCAAATGTTGTAATTGTGGAGGACCACACAGTGCAGCGTTTCTAGGGTGTAAAGCCCAAAAACAAGCTACGGAAGCAATGAAACTCAAAACAGTACAGAATATATCATATGCTCAAGCAGTCTAGCAAGTACAAGTGACTAATGGAAATTTGAGGGAAAATAACATAACCCAGTCTAAAGATAGGCTACTTGTAGTCATAAGTGTCTTGAGGACGGAAACATGCTTGTGGTAAACAAAATTAATTTTGTATAGCTTTTATAGCAGAAGTCATTAATTGTTCAGCTCAAACAGACAAAAGAACAGAAAAGCTGAAAATGATTATATCTGCAGCTGCCCGACATCTGGGTATTACTGAAATTTCAGTAGAACAGATTCAAAACTGAAGGAACAGCAGATCCTTTGGGAAGTCAAAGAGGTAAAAATAAAATATGACAATTTTACAGCGGAATGGCTGAATTTTGATTGCGAATGGACAAGAATTGAAAAGATTTGTTTATCAGCTAGCAGTTTTACCAGATATTATATGTATTCAGGAGACTTGGCTTCGTCCACAATTAAATTTTAGCATTCCTGGCTACAAGTTGGGTAGAAAGGATAGAGTTGTTACAAACGGTGGAGGATGTGGGACATTTGTTAAAGATGGGGTGGCTTTTAGAGAAATAATAATAGATGCTCCAGGGGAATGTGTGATTGTAGAGGTGTAGACACAGGGAGGGAGATTAAAGGTGGTAAACTTTAATAATCCTTGCAATTAGTTAATATTAGATGAACTAATCTAATATTCTAATACAATAAGAATCAAGGCTGGGGACAATTTGATATGGTGTGGGGATTTTAATGCACATAATTCACTTTGGGGAAGTTTAAGCACAGATAATAATGGAAGGCTAGTAGAAGATTTTATGGAGGAATATGTTTTAGTGTGTTTAAATAATGGAAAGGGTATAGATATAAGGGATTCATCAACTTCTTGTATAGATCTAACAATAATCTAGAGCAATAGCTTTAGAATGTCAGTGGGAAGTTCTAGAGCAATCAACATTGGGAAGTGATCACTTTCCAATAACATGTGATGTTGGTTTGGAAATTTATCAACAAAATAAAATAATGCAAAATAGATGGCGGTTTGATAAAGCTGATTGGGATAAATTTAACAGTTTTTGTATTGATGGAATGGAGAATTATAGCTTAGAAGATGATATAGACTTGTGTTCTGACAGATTAAATACAATTATTATAAATGCAGCTGAAGAATCCATTCCTAAATCAGAAGGTAAAGGCAGGTTGAAAATTGTTCCATGGTGGAATGACGAATGCACTAAAGCCGTTAAAAGTTAGAAATAAGGCTTTTAGAGAGCTAAAGAAAACCTTAATACCCATAACTTTAATTATACATCAGAGGAAATGGGCACAGGCAAGGAAGATAATAAAGCAAGCTAAAAGGAAGTATTGGCAATCATTCTGCTCCACAATAGGAAGGGAAACCTAACTTGGAGAAGTATGATGTGTCCTTAAAAAGATGGTTGCTGTGTATAGAACTCAGAATATTCCAGTCATGAAGGGAAAACAGCAGTGACGCAAGAAGATAAAGCGGAAATGTTAGCTTCCACCTATCAAAAGGCACAGATAACCTAGGAATAAATTATGAGTGAAGGAGGGAAGAAA